TTTGTGAGATTTAGAGGGTTATAAACCTCTAAACCAAAGGCAGGCAAGCCGAACACATATGTCTTGGCTTGGCTGAGCTATAGTGACTGCTGAAGCATGGAGACAGGTTGGCCGAAGCCGACTGTTCTCCACGGAAATGATAGGTAAGCGGAGCGAGCAGTGATCTCATGGCTGGCTCCCCCAGATGTAATGACATCAACATCCTCAAATGACCTGGGGACACTGGTCTGTCATTAAACAACAACAACTGGGCGGAGCTGGCTGTGATGTCATGGCTGGCTCTGCTCAGTTGTACTGTAATGACAGATCAGCATCCTCAAATGACCTGGGGACGCTGATCTGTCATTAAACAACTGGGAGGAGCCGTCTGTGACGTCACAGCCAGTTCCGCCCAGTTGGGTTGTTTTTGCCTGGGACCTGCTAGAAGACTCTGGCAGGTGTCGGCCAAAAGAAAACAGTTGCGTGGAGCAAGCGGTGATGTGACTGCTAGCTTTCCCCAATTGTTTCTATTTTGCCAGCATCTGTCAGAGTCTTCATTCTGCGGTGGGAGATCATCGCGTTTTTAAAATTTACTTTTTATTTTATTTTTTTTAAATTTTGTAGACTTGTCATTATCGTGGACAACGATGGAGGTCGTGATTGACCTTAGGCCTTTGCTCAGATCAAGGGTCTGGTAGGGACTTTTCGGGGGAACCCCATATCTCCCCCCCCTTTTTGGGAACGGGGTTACTCCTTAAAATTCCTACCAGATCTAGAGGGCCTGGTATGACTTTGGGGGGGGGGATGCTTTTTTTTTAAATGGGGTCCCTCCTAACTTTTCTACCAGACCCAAAGTGTCTGGTATGGTTTGGGAGGGAGACCCCACGCTGTTTTTAAAAAAAATGTTTTACATTATTTTCTTAACTTTATTACATTTTTTTACATTTATTTAAATTGTTTTTAAACATTTTTTTATTTGTTTACATTTTTTTCTATTCTGCTCGCTACCTTGGAGGCAGTGAGCAGAATAGCCGAGCAGAATGCCGCTTGGCGGCATACGGCTATTCACTGACTGCCTGTGGCAGCTTCGTGAATAATCCCCTTAGATATATTTTATTTTGAAGTCTAAACCTTTTCATAGCTTTTAGATTTGTTTTGTCTACTTACACTGCTCAATTCTGGCCTGTTACCCTGTTACTACTAGATTAAAAAAATCATATGTCACAACAAAACTACCTAAAAAATACATAGCACCCCTCTCAAAACAGGAGTGCTTTTTACAATCTAGTACTATCAGTTGCATCTGCTTGCTGCTGGGTGTATCCTTGCCACAGAGCAGGGCAACCAATAATGTTATGAATATATATGTCTCCCTAGCCAATCACTAGGATAGCCATGGCCAGTGGTGCATGCTGGGAGAAGACATAAATATTCGGGGTGGACCATGTGAGTTTCTCTTTCTTCCCTGATCTGGCTCGGCCTGAAGCCTAGGGAAGAAATATATGTGCTCAAACTGAGGCCTGAGCCTGGGGCCCAGTGGATGGAACTGAGGATGGAAATGACAGAGAGGAACTTCCCAAGGTGTGGGGAGCGTGAGAAATTGGCTTAAAGGTCCTATATCTGTGATGGTAGCAAGTATTTCATTCAACAACTTAATGGAGTCTATACCATCTTAGGTATCCTGTGCCCTAACCCTCTCTCCTTGAGTTCTACAATAAAGTTCTTTAAAATCATATCTTCAGTCTGGATCTTAGTTTTATCGGTTGCCACAGAAGGGCCAGTAAGTGCTATTGGGGCGGCCTTGCTATGCTACTAAAATCCCTAGACAGGCTAGGAAGACCCATTTATTCTAGTGGCTCCTTCAGGGGTGAGCACTATAAATACTTTTTCTTTCAAGTTAAAATTAATTAGATATGGGTGCTACTGCTTTATCTAAGATAAGGAATCATGTAAAATACAAAAAAATTATTACACATACAAATTATGTGATGGCAGGATATGGTGTTGTTGACGCTGTCCTGGAAAATTGTACTATTCTGGAACACCACATATAAAATGTGTTTAAAGGTATCTCTAAAGCATGCATGTTAATGTTTGTCTTATATTGTCCTTAAAGTTGCATAAAATGGAGAGCCTCTTTCTGCTAAATTAAATTTTAGGCATTGGTATTTGTCCCCACTGGCAATGTCCTGCTCTTCATGCTCATTGACAAACCCTTGCCTATTAGCCTTGAAAATGGGCAGAATTTATTTTGGATTTCAATAGGGTTCTCAAAGTTTGCAATTTGCAGCTCGTAGACTCAAATGTCCCCCTTTTGAAGGCTTAATGTGCACATTATTGGCCATAAAAAGGGTATGGGGAGTCGGGCACTGCCCTGGGGGACATGTATCAATGCAAAAAACACTTTTTAAAAATACTGACAGCGAATATACAGCACAGAAAATAATACTAAATATAGTACATAGTACTGTATATAGCACTAAAATGCTGTATAAAGCACTGACACTTCACTACACTGACACCAGTTAGCTTTCCCTACACTACACTACACTACACTACACTGCACTACACTGACAGCAACACACTATATTTAACTCCAGCAACACAGTGTAAGCAGCCTTATGTAGTGTAGGGCTGGGACTTAGCTATGAGCTATGAGCTATGATTGGGCAAAGTCATCATTACTTTGCCCAATCATGGCTCTCACAGTGCACTGTTCTGTGATTGGGCAAAGTCTTGCACCTGACCTGTGGTCAGGTGCATTGCTTTAGTCAATCAGGGCTCTGACAATGCACTGTGCGGTGCACAGTGCATTGTGGGGCGTTCAACGGGCGAATGGTCCTGATAGTTCTTGTGTTTGCCGAACACAAGAACTAGCAATGCTCAAGTCGAACAGTTCTTCGACTTGAACATTGAGTTCATCTCTAGTGTAAATGTGCAGTATGTAAAAGCACTGTGTAAATTGTTGGGGCTAAATACCTGTAATAAATAAATATTTAGTGTTACGCATTCAAGTACAATAATCACAGACACACATTTTACTGCAATGTGGATCTGCCTGCACCAGAGGTGCTCACACTATCATCTGTAATGGCTCCATGCCATTACATGCATCCAGAAGACATTATGTACAGTATGTTTAAACGTTGTTGTAATGCACAAATTTGTCACTCAAACATTGCAGCTGTAATGGTTTAAAGGTAACTTATTTTTCCTTGGATAGAACTATCTCTGTGATAGAGTCCTTCATAAAGCTTTGAAGCCATAAGTTGGTCCCTGGTTGGTATTCCATATGGTCTATCTGGAGAAGGGACATTTTGATTTACAGTAAGGCTACTTTACACATGGTTTCCTGATTTGCTAACACATATTATCAGGTCTTTATCAGACAAAATAAATATGTTCATAAAGCTGTCTATGTGTCCTCATTGTTCACAGAGTATGCATTTATGTAGGGAACTCTGTGACTTACCCAAACAATCTGGAAAATTTAGATAGATGAACAAAAGAGTTTGTTGCATCTACAGTGCCTCAAATCTTCTACAGAGGATTGAAATGAAAGATGACTGAGAGGAAACAAAGTAGTAGTTAGGCAGGGGCATGCAATTAACAAATATGGCTGCCTATGATTGCTACAGAACATATTTATGAACTTACATAAATGCTATTTCTATCCAGCTAATGTTGATTTTCAAATAGGACCTGGCATTACTACTACATTTAAAATACATTAGGATTGGTATAAAGTATTCAATCTCAACCTAAAGTGTATGTTTAGCGAAAACCTTTTTTTATTTTTAGCTTTGGGTAGAGTAGGGAAGCATTAGAACCATGGTCAAGTTTTTATTGATCATTGAGTTTTAAGATCTTTGATTAGTAGATGGTGGGACAATTCCTCTGATGGATGTCTGTGACCTTATTTAAAGTGACACTTAACTCTTTGAAATGCGTTCAAGTAACCTAACTATTCACAAACATGTATCTTATTTGTGTATCACTCAGCTGTAGATCCTCAAATGATCTCTGAATTTGTCCCAACACTGTCCTTCCTTCTGGAAGGTGGTTACTTTTGTTCCCCATGGTCTCTGCTTGCGTTGTAAAGTAGCCACCACTCCAGAAGGAAGGACGCTGTCAGAATGAATTCAGAGATGATGTACTTGTGATCTAGTACATTAAAGTCAAAGTAGGTTGGGTGTTGATGGTTTGCAAACCAATGTGGAATAATAGTAATGTTAATTAATTTGTCTGCAAAATGTAACCCTTGGATTATGGTGGACTGGTCCTAGTTGTGAATCTGAAAAGCTGTGTTTCCATTTTAGAACAAATTTACACATGCATGCAGAGCTTTTTTCTTAGACTCCTCAGAGATGTCAAATGTATTTTAACTAGACTGAACATGATGGATATTTTTATTGAATTTTTTTATTAAGGAATTTTACATTTCCAACATACAAAAAAGGAAATAAAGAAATTAACCATATTCCACTTAAAAAAAAGAGAACAAAGAATGCATACATTCAGTACTCTAAAACTGTCTGGAAATAAATGCTTTTATTGAATACAGGGCAAGAAACACATTATAAGTCAAAGGCAAAGGGTAGGGGACTGATAGGGTTGGTATGAATGTTGGTTGACCGACCAAAATAAATAAAGAATTATTTATAGGTGTTATAGCATGTTTTTGTTCTGTCATTTTACAGTTGTACTCATCTGACTCTTTAAAGGCCAGCCAATCCACCCAGATGGCGTAAAAGTTATCAAAGTGGACCTCAATTTAAATGTTTTTTTTTCAAATATGCAAACACTATCTACTGTTAGCAACCATTCCCATAGGAGAAGTGAAGATTGTGCCTTCCAATGCTTAGTGGTTAGTCTTTTAGCTATGTTGAGATATATGTTTTATCAATAGCTATTTAACTGTGAGAACGTAATCATTTTCTTAAATAAAACAAAACCAGTACTAATAATATTAATATGTATGATAATGTATAATTCTTATCATATATGTTGCTGTGTTTCAGGAGCTTTTCTTATCCCATATGTGGTGTTCTTTTTATTCTGCGGCATACCAGTATTTTTCCTTGAGACAGCGCTTGGGCAATTTACCAGTGAAGGAGGAATAACATGCTGGAGAAAAGTTTGCCCTTTATTTGAAGGTACAATATCATGTTACATATATCCTACCAGTTTGTATAAAAGTAGGTGCTAGCTTTGTATGGCTGTGGACCAGACAAACACTGCCTTGAACATACAATTTATAAAACTGAGAGAAAGCTGGCTTTCATGATTTTCTAAAGCTTTGAGCTTACAGAAAGTTTTAACAAAGCATTTGAAAAGCTTTCAGCAAGCTTCTAAAGTGACACTATGTTCAGGAGATAAATCTTAAAAATGCATTCAATTACCCTAACTATTAACAAAAATGTATCTTATTTATGTATAATTCATCTGTAGATCCTTGAATCATCTCTGAATTCTTGCTGACACCGTCCTTCCTTCTGGAGGGTGGCTACTTTTGTCCCTCATGGTCGCTGTGTGTTTTGTAAAGTAACCATGGCTCCAATTTCACTACCGTGATGGATTATAATCTCACGTATGGTTTACTCATTTTTAATGAGATTGTAGTCCATTAGGAGAAAGAGCTTGGAGCGGTGACTACTTTACAACACATGCAGGGACTATGGGGAACAAAAGTAGCCACCCTCCAGAAGGAAGGACAGTGTCAGCATGAATTCAGAGATGATTTGAGGATCTAAAACCAAAAAAAACTCCTTTTTTATTAATAGTTAGAGTACTTAAATGCATTTTTAAGATTTAATTCCTGAGTTTAGTGTCACTTTAAGCTGTCTGTTCATTATATCTATAATTAACAGACATCGTAGGGATGCTGGCTTTTGCAGGCAGTGGCGTAAAGGAAGAATAGTTTACCGGGGAATTAAGGGCCATATCAGAGAGCAGAATCAGTCCTGCTTTAACCTCATGCCTGTTTTGTGACTTAAACCTCCACTCTATATGGGGCTGTTAGAGGCTTCTGGATGCGTCAGAACTGCTTCTTTCCCCATAGTAGAAGCCTGATCAAGTTGATGCAATTTAGAAACCTGTCAAATTCAGGTCAGAAGAAGGTCAACTGGGAGCCAAATGCATCTAAAATTCATCATAAATGCAGAGTGATTGCAGGCTGCATTTGTCCACAGACACTAGCCCAAAGCCTACCAACACATACCTTCACAAGCATTTGGCTTCATGGATCAAAACCTTTAACAAAACTTATGTGATGTCTAGAGAAAACAATTAGATTATTTTAGTTTTCAAACAAACATTAGAAAATGACAGGTTGCATTTCATTGGTTGCTTTAGTAACACTGATTGTTCTTTTAAACACTTTTAAAAAACATAGCTTTATTATTCTTGTACCAATTTAGTAATTATATCTAATTTTTTTAAAAAAAATTTAGGTATTGGATATGCTACTCAAGTGATTGAAGCTCATTTAAATGTCTACTACATCATCATCTTAGCATGGGCAATTTTCTATTTATTCAACTGTTTCACTACTGAACTGCCTTGGGCCACTTGTGGACATAAATGGAATACAGGTAAACCAATGAATGCATATTGAAAACATTTGTTTTACAAATTATTTCTGTTAGAGCTTTTATAAAATTTATATTTGTGGAATATGTTACCTTTAAGCCAGTATTTTTATATTTTAGTAACACTCTTCAGTGGTCGTCTGTGAAAAAGCATAGTTGCAGAGTACAGCATGCTGATTTACACAAAAAAAACACATTTGTAGCAAAAATGAGATGCTCATGGTGAATCATCATAATGAAAGATATTGTTGTAAAATTAATATACAGGTAAAGAACATACCTTACTTTTGACAGAGAAGACATAACATCATCACATTGTGGCTGGGGTTCTGCTTTAGCCACTGTTTATTTTACCTAAATACATATATGTGAATATAAATATACATGATAGGAGGTATGATGTCCTACAGAGAGATATAATAGCTCAACTAATTCCTCAGCACAGGCGGCTCTCCACAAACTGTTCGTTCCGCAAGCACCCTCTCTTGTGGCCCCAGGGCCCCCAAATTGACCCCTGGACGGAGTGGTGACGTCGGGATTTCGATCCCTGTCCACACTTGATCTGGGGAATCCTATCCGCATCCGGGAATTCCATTGGGTGGTAAGTGAGAGGTGATTAAGCTATGTGGGTGATATTGGTGGTGGGTGTCCCTCTGTCCGGCGGAGCCGCCATGAGCACAGTTCTCTTCGGTGTTTAGACTTCAGAATGGATTTACATATTGCGTTATATAGATTAACTAATTTAAAACTCAAAATTTCCTATTAGACAGATCCATGCTCCCCTGAGGAAGCAATATGCGAAACGCGTAGGGACTGGATACATGGATTTCCCAAATGAATACGTATGAACAAAATGAATTGGAACTAGGATGCAACTGTTTTAATGTATTTAAGATGATATTGAACTAAGATTCTATTTCATGAAATGTATACATGTGTTTTATTATATGTAAAATAAATATTTTTTTTATATCAAATAAATCAAGTGTTGGTGTTATACCTCTCAAAAAAAACCCACTTTTCTGTGTGTTGTTACAAATGGTTATCATCACATTGTGGCTGGGGTTCTGCTTTAGCCAGTGTTTTTTTTAAACTAGATTTTCATTGAGGGACACAGGGTAATGCCACTAAAAAAACAAACATGTAAAATTTACTAGCCTCATTGCTTAGATGGAGGCTTGATGAATAAAAATTTACCAAATATTTACCAAATATGAAAGTGGACATTTTTAAGGGACTGACAGGACTGGCAAACTCCAAGAGGAATCCATTAGTAAAAGGGGCCAGTAAGCCAACAATGTGGAAAAAAAACAAATATCCACATTAAGGGAAATATAGATGTAGCAATAATAACTAAACGAGAAGTTAGACAAACAGTTAATTTGGTCAACAAAGAGACATTTTTTTGTGTGAAGGCCTACATCTAGTATACCAAACTCTTAACTTCAGGGAAAGGAATCTAGGGCAGATGATATATGTCCATGAATAAATAAACCAAAGAGATTACAATTGCAAGCAAAGATAAAGTGCCTTTAATTCATAACGTTAGGGCAAGGGAAGTCTACTATATGAAGGATGTTCCCTGACAGGAAGTAACCTCTAAAAAACGTCAATGAAAAGAGTGGAAAAAAAAGTGTAAATAAATGTGAAATCGAAAAAAACAAAGATTTTTGAAAAAACAAACAAAATAACAACAAAAAAAACTGTTTCCTAATGGCCGGCACCTACTAGAGTCTCCTAGCAAGTCCTTGCCAATGAAAAAACAACTAGGCGGACCCGCCGTGATGTCACGGCCGGCTTCGCCCAGTTGTCATTAATTAATGACAGTTCAGCGTCCCCAGGTCATTTGGGGGATGCTGATCTGCCATTACAACTGGGCGGAGCCAGCCATGAGATCACAGCTGGCTCCGCCTAGCTGTCATTTGTGAGGCTGGCCATTCGCCCCTCTAAAAAAGAGAGAGAGTATAGAATAGAAGAAGGATAGAAAGGAAAGAGTGGGGTGATGGGCAACTAAGGCTCAACTAAGAAAAAAATATTTATCTGAGAAAATGAAAGTTGACTGCTTTGAGAAAGCAGACTTGAGGAATATTATTTCGAAGCTGAGCGAGGGGATATCCTAAAAATTAGTAATACTATTGGCAACTATGGAAAAAGGGGTTCCATATTATTCCACAGATTTCTTCAAGAGGGCAATGGAATAGGAGCTGATGTACCCAGGGAAGGGAATATTTAGCACCCTGTTGCAAGAAGCTGTTAGGGTGTAGGACATTGACTCTACAGTGAAAACATGTAGGGAATTCAACTAAGGGGAATAAAATAAAAGAAGGCACTAGGAACAACATTGTGTCATGTGCCTTGATATGAAGTAAAACATACTAAAGTATGAGAAACTGGTTCCTGTAGAGTAGGAAGTTAGGACATCCCTACAAAGAGGATGTAATGCTTGCACCAGCACTGGTAATCCGGGGCTATAGCTGTCAAGTGCAGCTTTACTTATAGCAGCCCCTGATCCCTTCAAGAAGAAAATTATTATTAATCCTTGCTTTGGTGCTACCCCTGCTCTGCAAAGGTTAACTTCTCGTTTGTGTCTAGGGAGGAAAATATACTCACCGGATCCTCTGAGCCAGCTTGATCTTAGATCAGTCCTTGGAGCCTCCCGGCCCTCCACTACAACAATATAAGGTACCATAAATCCTCATGTTCTATACACAGTGTATTGAGTGTGAGGATGCCGAGGTACATTCCATTGCTGCAGCATATGAGGAAACAGGGTGGAGGAAGCACTGTCACAGCCGGCCAAATGGCATGGATTACGCTTAAGTGTTAAATGCATTTTTTTATCAGTATATGCACAATAAAAATAATACAAATTTATTGGAGGGAATAATAATGCTAACATTATTGAAACAGACTAGAAAAGCTAAATTTTAACAAGTTAAGAGGGCCTGATGGCTTACACCTGTCAGTACTCAAGGAGCTCAGATAACCAAGCCTCTTGGTTATTTTTAAAAGCTACTGAACGACTAGAACGGTTTTTGCTGATTGGCGTAAAGCAAACATTCAATAGTTTGCAAGGTGTTTGAGGGAATCCAAAGGGACTCTATTGAAGAATTTGTTAGGGAAAATTTTATTAGTCTAGTCTAAAATTAATTTAGGAAGGACTGATCTTATCAGACCAACCTGCTAAAGTGCTATGAGGAATTAACAGTAACCTAGATAGAAGATGGGCATTAGACAAAAATTATCTGGATTTTTCAAAGGCATATATATATATAT